CCATCCCATCCCATCCCATCCCATCCCATCCCATCCCATCCCATCCCTCCCTGTGTCCCCTCCATCCCAGCACTCCCTCTCTCCCACAGAGGACACACGGCCACCAGGACCTGCCACCCCACGGAGGTCCCCGTCCCCCGAGGACACCACTGAGGAGGAGGAGGAGGAGGGGTCGAGACCACCCCCATCCTCCCCCAACCCCTGGCGGGAGACCAGCCTGGACAGACCCTATGAGAGGGCCAGAAATCCTGGAATCAATCCTGGGAATGGGGAAACCCGGAGATCCCGGTGCTACCTGGGGTCACCCCTGGGGTCCCCCTCGGCCACCCCCAGCAGCCCCAACCCTGCAACCCCCCCGGGGGCCAGGCCAGGGGACCCTCCCTACCGGTTTGTCCCCATGAGGACCCTGGTGCTGTGCCGGCAGGGGGGATCCAGTGCTCCTGGCAGCCCGGAGACACCGGCACGGAGGGGACAGAGCCAGGCCCGGAGGTACGTCCTGGGCACAGCAGGGGACATGGGGGAAGGAGGGAGGGGGGAGACTCCGTGGGGAGAGGATGAAGGAGATTCCATGGAGAGGATGGGAGAGATGCCATGGGGAGGATGGAGAGGATCCCATGGAGAGGATCCCATGGGGAGGATGGAGAAGATACCATGGGGAGGATGAAGCTCAATCCATAGGAAAGAGGATGGAAATAACCCTGTGAAGATGATGGAGCTCAGCCCATGGGGAGGAGGTTGGAGAAAATCCCACAGGAAGGATGGAGATAGCCCATGGGAGGAGGCTGGAGACAGCTCCATGGGAGGCTGGAGCTTGGCCCCACAGGGAGGATGGAGATAATCCCATGGGAGGCTGGAGCTCCAGTGCCATGGGATTAGCTCCACTCTCCTCCCATGGGGTTCCATGACCTTTCCCCAGGATGGATCCATGTCCTTCGCCTAGGGTGGATCCCTCTCCTTTCCCCAGGGTGGATCCCTGTCCCCTCCACAGGTTGGATCCCTATCCCCTCCCCAGGGTGATCCCTCTCTTTTCCCAGGGTGATCCCTCTCTTTTCCCAGGTTGGATCCGCCCTGGCCACCCCTGGAGCCCCGGGGCCGCCCCCCCGGGCCCCGCCGCCGCCCCCCGCACTGCGCGGTGTCATTCCCGCCACCCGCGGGCCCCTCGTTCCTCTCGGGATCGGCCGAGAGCGTGTCCAGCATGTCCAGCGCGTCCCGCGCGCCCTCCCCGGGCGGCTCCGGCCCCGACGGGTCCCTCGCCGCGTCCCTGCCCCTGCCCGGGCCGCGCTCGCGGGGCCCCCCCCCGGGTCCAACCGCCCCCCCCAGGGCTCCTGTTGGAGCAGGACCTGGCCCCGCTGCGGTACCAGCGCCTCGTGCCCTCCCGCTCCCGCATCGTCCGGACCCCCTCGCTCAAGGACTACGGCGGGACCCGGGGGCTCTCCCGCGCCGCCGTCACCGAGGAGCTCCGCTCGTGGCACCAGCGCGCGCGGCTGCGGGGGGCACGGCCGCACTCCCTGGACAGAGAGGGGGCCCTCGGGAGACCCCCCGGAGGGACCCCCGGGGACGGACCCCTCGCCCGGGCCAAGCTCTCGCGAGTCCAGGTAGGACACGGGGGCTGGGGGCTGGGGGGACCGCCGGGGGGCTGCCTTGCGGGGGGGGGTCACCCTGAGGTGGGGTCAGGGTATGTCTGGCTCTGGTGGGGTCCCCAGAGTGGATGTGGGGTCCTGAGGGCATCCATGGGGAGGAATAGGGGTCCCACGAGGGTCTGTGGGGCAGGACTGGGGTCCTACAAGGGTCCCTGGGGCAGGACTGGGGTCCCACAAGGGTCCCTGGGGCAGGATCAGGACCTTAAGGGGGTCTCTAGGGTGGGATTGGGGTCCTACAAGGGTCCCTGGGGCAGGACTGGGATCCTACGAGGGTCCCTGGGGCAGGATTGGGGTCCCACGAGGGTTCCTGGGGCAGGATTGGGGTCCTACAAGCATCCCTGGGGCAGGACTGGGGTCCTACAAGGGTCCCTGGGGCAGGAGCAGGACCTTAAGGGGGTCCCTGGGGTGGGATTGGGGTCCCACTGAGTCCCTCTGGTCATACCCAGGGGCCCACCAGCCAGACCCATGGGGGTTCCAGGGGCAGCACTGGGGTACCCCTGGGCAGGGGGGTCCCTACTGACATTTTTGGGGCCAGTCCCCCCCTTCTCCCTGGTCCCACTGGGGGGGGTTCCCCATGGCACAGCAACATCGGGCAAGTGAGGACCTACAGCTGTGCCCCCACAACCCCCCCCCCCCAGTCTCTGCCCCAGGGGGTGCCAAGGTGCCCCTTTAGAGTCTTGCTCCTGCCCCTGGGACCCACATGGGACCCCATCCTGCTCCAGGAACTGTCTTAAGGTCCTGGTTGTGCCCCAGGGACCATTGTGGGACCCCCGTCCCACCCCAAGAACCGCTTTAGGGTCTTGGTCCTTCCCCCGAGATCCTCGTGGGACCCCAATCCTGCCCCAAGGACCTTCCTGGGACCGTGGTCCTGCCCCAAGGGCCCTTGTAGGACCCAGTCCCACCCCAGGAGCCCCTTTAGGGTCTTGGTCCTGCACCAGGGACCCGCAGGGACCCCAGTCCTGCTCCAGGGTGCCCAGCACAGGGTGAAGGTGCCCCGGGGGGTGCCCTGGGGGGTGCCCAGCACAGGGTGAGGTGCCCAGTACAGTGTGGGGTGCCGGCACCCACGTGCTCCCCATGCCCCCCAGGCACCCCCTGTGCTGCGGCGCTCGGTGCCCGGGGTGCCCGTGCAGCTCTACGTGCCTGAGAACGGCGAGATCGTCACACAAGTGTGAGCAGAGCCCCCAGCCCGGGCTGGGGGGCACAGCCTGGCTGGCCCAGGGACCCCCCACCCCGATGTGGGGACACGGGGGGGAGGCACAGTGGGGTGGCACGGGCTGGCCCCTACCCCATGTGGCCTCAGTGGCCCCGGCACCGCAGTGCTGATGGTGACACTGGTGACACTGTGACCCTGGTGCTGATGGTGACACTGTGACCCCAATGCTGATGGTGACACCGTCACCCTGATGGTGACAGTGACACCTTGACCATGGTGCTGATGGTGACACTGTGACCCCGATGTCACCACGATCCTCAGTTTGGGGTTCTGGTCTCTAATAAAGGTGGGTTTTGGGATGTGTCACTCTCGAGATGTGTCACCTCTGTGTCCCCAGCCCTGTCCCCAGCCCTGTCCCCTCCCGGGATCCCCAACCCTGAGAACAGTTGGTGCTGCCAGGTTGGAGCTCTGGGATTTTGGTCTCTAGCTGTGCTCACAGCATTGGTGGGATGCCCCAAGTGCCAGGGGGGTTCCCCAGTGCCCAAGGGGGTGTCCCAGTGTCCAGGGGGGTGTCCCCAGTTCAGGGGGGTTCCCTAGTGCCCGGGGGGTGCTCCAGGTCCAACTGTGCCCATCCAGCACCTAGTGAGCGTGGCTGGAATGGGGGGCTGGGAAAGGGGGCTCAGGGAGGGGAAGGGGTAGAGGAGAAGGATGGGGGCAGGGATGGGGGGCAGGGGAGGGGGGCAAGAGGGTGGTCAGGAAGGGTGCAGGGGATGGGGTGCAGGAGGAGGGAAATAAGGGATTCAGGGAAAGGCTGGGGTGGGAGAAGGGGTGCTGGGAGGAGAAATGATGGGTGCAGGGGTGGGATGGGTTGCAGAGGAAAGGGAAATAAGGGGTGCAGGGGTGGGATGGGTTGCAGAGAAGGGAAATAAGGGGCACAGGGCTGGAGTGGGGTGGAGGAGGAATGATGGGAGGGGAACTGTTGGGGTGCAGGGGGTAAGGGAAGGGGTTGGCTGCAGGAAATGGTGTGGGGGAAGGGGTGCCCGTGAAAGGACGGGGTGCAGGCAGAGGAGAGACACGGGGGGCGGGGGGG